AGGTCACTTCTGCCAGAAACATCCACCCAGCACCTGCCAGCTGGGGCTGGGGCCTGACTCACCACCTCCTCGGGGGCCGGGAGAGAGGGAGGCTGAGCCGGAGCAAACCGGGGACGTGGCGTCACCCTGCTCGCAAAGAGCCCTGTCCCCAGCAGCCCGGCCTCACCCCGCCGGCAGCCCCCTGAGCAGACAGCAAGTGGCTGTCAGAAAACAGTGTGGCACAGCCCCTCCGTGGGGACGGGCACTCGCCGCACGCTCCCGAGCCCCACGGCACAGCCGGCTGCCCCGCTGCTCCAGTGCCAGCGGCTCCAGTCCTCTCGACCAGTCGCAAGAAGCACATCCCAGTAACTCTGAAGCCAGAAGGGGACCAAGCCCCTGCCCGGCCCTCGTAAAAGAGCCAAGTCTTGCTGTTGGCTGGGGGCCGGAGGGCACCCGCTGTCCCCGCAAAGGGCTGGCAGCTGCGGTGGGAGAGCAGGCGTGGAGCAAGAAAAGACCAAGCGCTTCCCCCGGCGAGAGCGAAGATGCGCAGGGAGGGGAGCAAAGCGTCTGTCCTGGGCTGGGGGACGTCAACAGGCCTCGGCCAAAAATAGCTTTGGTACCTTCTGCGATGGCAAACCCCGGAGCGGCGGCTAATCCAGAGAGGAACAAGGGGAGTCGGAGCCCTGCCTGGCCGCTAGCCACTGCTCATGAACCCCGGGAGGCTGGTGCCGATGGGCAAGCCCTGCCCTCGTCTCTGCTTTTATAGCTTGGGCGGCGTAACAATCTGGCAGCCTGAGGGGAATTCCAGCCGCAAACGTTCATGCTCCCAGATCCAGGTGATTTGCATAATAGCACAGGGTCCCAGCCCTGTGCTGCCTTGCCGGGAAAGCTGGGTTGGCCAGTTTAATCATTGTCAGAGCCCGTGCCCCGCCGGTGCCCAGAGTTTCACCCACACTGGCTTCACGGGCTCTTTTCTCTGCTGCCGTTTGCCCGGCCCGTGTTTGTTTGCTCACAGCAGCAGGTTCACTCAGCTCCCGCAGCCAAAAACATCCCTGGAGCCAGAGTTGGCCCTGGGGGCTGCGGATCCCTGCCTGGGGCTCTGCCCGCGGCAAAGGGGCCGCAACGCTGCCCCAGGGTGTGGGTGCCCGGGTGGGCAGCCCAGCCCTCGCACTCAGCAGGTCTGTGGGGGGGTGCTTGGCCATGCCTGGAGCACAGGCTCGGGATGGCACTGGCACAGCTTCTCCCAGAGCAGGAAGAGAGACCCTGTGACCAAGTGGGACACATGCTGGGATGAGATTCAGGTGGGGATGGAGCAGAGACGGGGTGGGCACCTGAGAATTGCTGCTCTGTCTGTCAGAATGGGTCGATTTTGCCCGGGAAAGGTCTAGGACAGGCTGCAGAGCCCTGATGGCCCATTTCCTGCCAAGTCACAAGTGCCTGGCACAGGCAGACCCTTACACCAGGGACAAGTGACAAGGGGCAAGGCAGAGTTGTGGGATGCATTTTGAGAATTACCTTGGTGGCTCTTGCCCCTCTGGCCCTTGGGCCCTCTCAAGGTACATTCCTGCTGGTTTTAGTCCTGTGCTGGCAGGGGGGACCCAGGCCAGTCCCAGCCAACAGCTTGGCACCCCTTTGCCCGGTGCTGGTACTTTGCTGAGCTAGCCATGTCCATGCCACATGCAGGCTGAGGCAAACCCGGGCACTGTGGGCAGACCCTGGCATCTCACAGCCACCTCTGGCTCTTTGTCGCTTCAAACTGGCAGCTGGCAGCAAACCACCTCCTGTGTCACAGTGACAGGCTGTTGCAAACGTGGATGCTCTACCTTGGCACATGGACAAGCAAGGGCAGGGTGGCTCATGTCCCGTCCCCCTTGTCACATCCCCTGGCCCTGGGGCAGGCAGGGCCAGCGTGCCAGCCAGGAGGCACCAGGTCACGCCAGCTGATCACCTGCCCCAGCTTCATTCCTCTGCAGCACAGTCACGAGTGCTGGGTGCTGCCAGGCCCTTTTGTTTCCTTGGGCACAACATCCCACAGGGACATCCCCATGCCTGGGAGCAGCTCCTGTCATCACTGCTACAGGGCAAGCCAAGACCACCAGGGAAAGCAGACAGGGCCTGAACCTGCATCCAGCCAAGGGCTGAGCCTGAGGCTCCTCCATGCCCAGGCCTGGGCTGCCAGTGCCTGTGGTTGGAAACCTGCCACTGGGGAAGCTTTTTCCATTCACCATTGCAATGCAGGTGCCCTTGGAGCAGGGTGGGACATGCCAGCACTGTGCCCTGCCCTGGGCCACAGACTAAGGGCTGATGGGGAGGGCATGTGGCACTTGGGAGTCTCCTGCCCAAGCCATGTGCAGCCCATCCATGGCTCTCCCCATCCCAGGGGATCTGATAGATGCCTGACAGAGCTGTCTGGCATGGACCACACTGAGCATCCCCTTTCCCAGGTCTCCTTTCCCTGCAGACCCACAGCAGCACTCAGGGAAGCATCGTGGTCAGTCCATGTACCTGGGCTATGCCACTGACGGGAGAGGTGCCCTCAGTGGGTGACACCCTCAGCCCCTGCCGTGTGCCCAGCATGTTGGGAGCCCTCCGGGTCCTTCTGGTGCTCATGTCCCACCTTCCTTCCCTTGGGTTTGGGAATCAGGAGGTCAGTGGACCTGAGCAATCCTCCCCAACCCCCTGAAGATACTCTCCAGCTTTCCTGCCCAGAGAACTGCCCTTCTTTCCCCTCTGTCCACTGATGTGCCACACAACCTGGGCCCTGTAATGGGCCATGGGGAGATCACTGTGGGCAACACTCCCTGGAGATGCTGATGCACTGTGCTGGGGGCTTGAGAGGTCATAAGCCTCTCCTGAGGCGTCCTCATGCCTTCCCCAGAGCCACAGGGTGCCACAAGGAGCAGGATGGTGCCCATGGGACCCTCCTCTGCTGAGGAGCAGCCCCAGCACTGGTGGGCTCAGGGCAACTCCTCCTTGAGCCTGAGGATGGGTGGCAGAGGGCTGCCACCACCTTATGGCCAGAGCTGGTAGCTCCCAGGGGAGCTACCCTTGCTGTCCCCTTGCCACTAGTCCAAGCTCCCAGGGCACCTTTAGGCCTGTGGGGTGCATGTCAGAGGGTGCTGCCTGCCCAGGCTTGGCATCTTGCTGCAACAAGGGAGAGGTGGCTGTAGGTGTGAAGTGACAGTGACATGAGGACTGGCAGGACAAGGTGTCTGTGGTGCCGTGCATGGCTGAGGCACCAGGTGGGAAGGGGATGCTATGATGTCACCTGCCCTGCCAGGGGTAGTTGGGACCATGACACCCCCACGTTTCTTGACCAAGGATGCTGTTTGCCCTGGCAGAACCGTGGTGGCTGTGGGTATGGAGGCTCACGCCGAGGTGACAGCCATGGCACAGGCTGAGGGTGAAGCAGGGCATGGTGCTGGGGGCTGGGCTGGCTCTGGGCACTGCCAGCCCCCAGGGACACCTCAGGGCCGGCCCAGCATCACTCAGGACCAACACTGCGGTCCAGGGCTGGAGCACTAAGTTTTCAGGGTGGGAGGTGCCCCACGCGGGGAGCAGAGGGGTGTGTGGGAGGAACTGCACCCGGGGGGTCAGTGTGGGCACAGCCCCGGGGCTGGCAACTGCCGCTCGGCTGCTCTGTCTGACCAGTTCAACCAGGGATAGCCGGCTGGAAAAGAAGGTGGAGGCTGCAGGAGCTGAGCCCGGTCCTGCGGGGTTGGGGGTACAGCTTGCTGCCCTCACCTCCCCCCCCTGCAGCAGGTTGGCTGCCCGGTGTCCTGGGGGGCAAAAGCTGGTGCCACAGCACCGGTCACCTCCGGTGGCTCAGCAGGCACCACACAGTGGCACCGTGTCACACACACCACTGGCATCTCCCCCTCACTGCATCTCCCACTGGCCGGGTCAGCGGTGCCTCCACCCCCCAACATCTCCCTCAGCATACCCCTCCGGCAGGACCCTGCGTCTCCCCCAGCATCCCTCCCCACCCCTCACCCTGCATCCCCCCCCGAATCCCTCCCCAACCCCTGCATCGCCCCCGACGTCTCCCCGAACCCCCGGCCCTGCATCGCCCGCAGTGTCGCGGTTCCCCCGCGCCCCGGGCCGTGGTCCCGCAGCCAGCGCTGCCCTCTGCCGTCGGCCCCGTGCCACCGCTCCCCTCGGCAGCCTCTGTCCCCCGAGAGCCACCCTCTCACCTTGCCATTCCATCCACCACGAGCTCCGTCCCCCAGGAGCACCTTCCCGCAGTGCCAGGGTCCTGCCCGCTGGGGGACCTGGGTACCCCGCAGGGCGGGGGGTTGACGCGATGCTGCAGGGTCAGGGATGCTCTGACTGCAGAAGGGGTTGGCTGTCACGCTGGATTGGGGGCTGCCTGGTTGGAGCCCTCCTCCTGCTCCTCCTCGCCAGGAGAGGGGTAGAGCCAGCCGGGTTTGGTCCGGGCTTCCTCCACCTCAGCCCCTGAATTCTGCCCCAGCAAGATCAGTTGTGCCACATCTGCCTGAGGACCTGGTGCCTGGAAGGATCCATGTCACCTTCGAATCATGGAATCGTTCAGGTTGGAAAAGCCCTCTAAGATCATCAACCCCAGCACTAAACCATGTCCCCAAGTGCCACATCCACATGTCTTCTGAACACTTCCAGGGATGGTGACTCCACCACTGCCCTGGGCAGCCTGGGCCAGTGCCTGACCACCCTTTTGGTGAAGAAATTTTCCCTAATATCCAACCTGAACCTCTCCTGGTACAACTTGAGGCTGTTTCCTCTTGTCCAACCTTCTCTCAACACATGGGATTATAGAATCACAGAATGGTTTGAGTTGGAAGGGACCTTTAGGAGCCACCAAGTCCAATCCCCTGTCATGGGGCAGGGACACCTTCCACTCTGTCTGGCAGGGCCAGAAGGGCTGCAGTCACAGTCCCCTCCACTCTGCCCCACTCCTTGGGCCAGGCACATGGGGATAGGAGGAGATGGGGGCTCCCAGCTGTGTTCTTCTCTGCCTCAAAGCAACCTCTCTTCTCCATCCCTTCATCTCAGAACATTTTATTTGCAAAGACAAAAAGGCAAAGAACAAACACAGCCATTGAAAAACGTACAGCAGGAGACCGCAATAACTTACACTATTTACAGGAACACACCAAGGTATAAAACACACGCACACACCTCGTGCTCTGACAGACCCAGACCGGGGCTGGGCTGCACAACCCCCCAGAGACACCACCAGCCTTCACAGCAGCTGGCCTCTGGAAACAGCTCTGAGTGAGAAAAGGCATCTGCTATTGTGCTCCTTGTGCAGCAGGAAGGGGTGGCGGAGCAGGCGACACGGTGCTGCAGCTCCCCAGCCCCGTGTGGGGCTGGATGGGGGGGTCCCAGGCCAGGTGGAGCAGTTGGCAGGGACCAGGGCAGAGCTGTGATGGATGAGGGCACACGCCCCGGGGCAGGAGGAAGGCAGAGGGCTGTACTTTCCTGGGGGTTCGGGTCTGTGCTGGGCTCCCTCTCAGTTACAGGTGAGCACCATGCAGCACCTGGAGGGGCCGGGGGTTCCCTTCCCTCCCCAGGAGGGTGAAGGGGGGCTCAGGAGGGCGTGCAGCCTGCAGGACAGTGAAGTTCCAGTGAGCTGCTGAAAAGCAAGTTGGAACCCTGTGCTCCACAGGGATCGTACCTGGACCCTGTTCAGCGTGGGGCAGGGGAAGGACTGGGATGGGGCACTGGGAGAGCACCCTGGGAGGCAGGCACTGGTTTGGCAGCACCAAGGCAGGAGGCAGCATCTGAGACCCCAAAGCAGCTGTGCTCAGAGATGGTGGGGAGAAACAATGTACCTGGGGGAGACAGGATGGGACCCCAGAGCTCCTGTCACAGCTGGCCAGCCCATCCTGTGCCATGGGGGCTGTAGGAGCCAGAAAGGAGACAGTGCTCAGGCTCCCACGGGGACTCACAGTGTTTTGGGGATCCAGTGCTTTTGGGCTTCTGAGTCTTGTCCACCCCTGTTGTGCAAAGCTCAGCTCTGGGGCAGCCCTGCATCCCCCCCAGAGCCTGGAGCCGACCCCTGTGTGCTGGGGGTGAGGAGACCCCTGGTGCAAGAGTCAGGCCCTGGGGACAAAACCATAACCCAGAAATTTGAGGAAGGACTGCAGGTATGATCACACGCTTGGCACAAACCAAGGCACCCAAGGGTGAAGAGAACGAGGTGCATGGTGCGAAGGCAGCTCCAAAATGTCCCTGCCCTGAAGGGGCTGTCAGAGAGGCTCAGGGACCACCAGAGGGGACTTCAGTTGTGCAGCAGGGCAAGCCCTGAGCCCCAGAGAGCAGCCAGCAAAGGGATGGAACAGCTCACCCGTGGCCATTGGCAGGCAAAGAGCCCTCATTCCAGCCCACCTTCTCCTCAGCTGCCCCAGCCCATGGCCCAAATCTGAGCTCTGAAGGGCCAGAGTCCAAGGGGCCACCCCTCCTAACCACCTACATGTGGGGACCTTGTGCTTTAGTGTTTGGGCAGACCTGCCCCCCAAACTGACAGTGTGGCTCAGAGCTTCCCAAACCTCACTGTGCCAGGGGAACGGGGTCCAGCCCAGAGCAGGAGGCAAGCTGGGGGCTCCAGGGCTATCCTCGTTTATGTTCAGTGCCTGGAACTGGATCTAGACTCAACTACGTTTTGGGAGTGGAAAGTCAAACATCACACACCAGAATCAGCTTCTCACAGACCACTCCCAGCTTGAGCAAGGGTTTTAACAGCACCCAGTTCCTGCTGCCATACAGCTGCAGCAGGCTCTGGAAAATGGGGGCTAGGACCAGCCCATTCCAGCAATGTGCTTTGCACAGACATTTCCCAGACAAGGACTTCCCTGAATCCACAGAGAATATCCATGAGAGCAGAGGCAGGAATGTGGGCTGAGCCAAACCTTCCAGAGGTTCCTTTCCATCCTTCCAAGGGCAAGATGGACCACTCCTAGGCTGCCAATCAACCCAATAACAAACAGCAACACTGCCAGGCCTCAGTCCAAACATCCCACCAGCAATGGGAGCAAAATCTCAGTGTTGCAACTGGGCTGGGGAATCCCACTGCCAGAGGTAGGAGCTGGCAGAGCAGGGGAGCAGGAATCCCACTGCCAAGGTGGGAGCTTGGCAGTGCAGGGGAGCAGGAATCCCACTGCCAAAGGTGGGAGCTGGCAGAGCAGGGGAGCAGGAATCCCACTGCCAAGGTGGGAGCTGGCAGAGCAGGGGAGCAGGAATCCCACTGCCAAAGGTAGGAGCTTGGCAGTGCAGGGGAGCAGGAATCCCACTGCCAAGGTGGGAGCTTGGCAGAGCAGGGGAGCAGGAATCCCACTGCCAAAGGTGGGAGCTGGCAGTGCAGGGGAGCAGGACACTGGTCCTGCTGCCCTGCCCAGGAGGAGGCAGGTAGGGGGACACAGGGGGCGGCTCAGACATGCAGGAAGGTGGGAGTGAGGCCACGTGTCCCCAGGATGAATTCAAGTGTCAAAACCATAACAATAACAATAATTAAGAGGAAAAAAAACCTCCCCACCCCATCCCCAGTACGAAACCCAACGATGACAGCACCCAGCTTGCACCGTGAGGTAGCTAAACCAGATCAACCCCCCCGAAACGCTCTCCTGCATGGGAAACATCACCCCACACAGGCACTAAGACATACACACACACATAGACACACACAGAGATGGGATCACAGTCACCCCTGCCCCTGTTCTGGTCAGGACAGGGTGAATTTTCGCAGTAGCCAGGAGGGGGCATGGCCAGGACCCTGAGGTTATTTTATACCACCTAATGTCATCTCTTCCAGCTGTGGTAGCAGGCTAAGCTCTTAGGTGAGCATTTTGCATGTGAATCACTCTCTTTTGTACACTTCTGTTATTAATATTGTTGCTGTTACTGTTTGTTTTCTTCTCTCACTGCTGTTTGGAGTAAATTGTTCTTATTTCAACCTCTCATCTTTACCCTGGAGCGGTGCATGGTTTTAGTGGGAGTACTAAATTGGAGAATACCAGTCCTAAACCACGACAGCTTTATTTGGCACCCAAGGTGGGGCTCAAAGGGTTGAGATAACAACAGATCTGCTCAGAACAGGCTGGAAACAAATTGGATCTAAGCATTTGCTGTACCGGGGACAGAGCCATTGGTCACAATGCTGCTTGGTCTGTTCATGGGGGTGTGGTACCTAACCCTGCATATATTCCCCTATGTGCTCCTCAAGGTGCTCTTTTTCAGAGCAGGGAGAGGGATCAGAATTGCTTTGTTGATGTAGTGTGGGATATCAGTTTGTGACATGATAACATCAAGAGCAATGAAGGTCGTTTGGGATGTTTTCAATGTTACTCTCCTACTCTTACCTTTGGGAGTCCATTAATAACAGTACCCAGTCTGTGGGGAGGAACAGGGGAGGATGATTTTCCCCAGCCTTTCACCCCCTTTTACTCCTTCAGGCCTGTTACAACAGCTTTTGAGACTTTTGAATTCCCTTTGGATGTTAAGGAAAGCATGTTCTTGTTGCTAAGCCTGCCAGGTCTCCTCAGTGCAGCCTACACTGTGTTTAGAGCCAAGAGATTTCTACAAAGGTTGTTCAGAGATCTGCCCCAAGGAGGGGTAGTCACGAGTGCCATGGAAGTGGGAGAAAAATGGGACAGTTTTGGGGAAAATTCTCTGCTCAAATGGTTTGGAAGTTCACCCCTGAACAACTACAGGACCCTGATGAAGTGACAGAATATTTGCAAGGAGAATGCTGTGGCAACTCCAGAGAGGAGCAACTCATTGCTGTGTGCTGGGCCCTGGCTGCTATTTTGTCAGACACTGCTTGTCACCAGACAGCACCAGACAGAGGGGGAGGAGGAGGAAAACAGAGCAACAGGCACCGTGGCCACTCAAACTGCAGCTGAGCCAGAGGAACAATCCATGCTGGTAACAGTCACCCCTGCACAGAACAAGAAATCCAAGACCAAATCAGTTTGCACAGTGAGGGATGAAGAGAAGGAGGGCCCTCAGAACAGGAGGAGGAGGCAGGGCCAGAGATAATCACCCGATCCCCATCTCGGGGAGCTGCAAGATACCTGAAAAGATTTCAGCTGTCACCAGGAGAGCCCCTGGTGACCTGGCTGCTCCAGGGCTGGGGTATCACAGCCCACAACATGAAACTAGAGAGTAGTGAAGTCAAGCAGCTGGGATCCCTGTGCTGGGATGTGGGCACTGACCAGGGGATTGGGAAGAGGACAGAAACTCTCAGCCTCTGGAGGTGACTGTCAAGTGTGAGGGAAAGGTGTTCTCTCAAGGGTGATCCAACAGTGCACCGAGACAAGTGGAACACCACAAAGAAAGGTATCCAGTGGCTGAGAGAAGCAGCTGTGCTGGAGCTAATCTACAGGGATTCAAATAAAAAGCAGTCCCCTGTAGATCCAGAGGAGGTCCAGTGCACAAAATCCATGGGGCAAAAGTTTCAGAGTTTCTGCTACTGGGAGCAAGTGCCCCCCTGCTCCAGAGAGGGGGGACACACCATGAGATAACCTGTGGTTTTACCTACATGACCACAGAGAAGACATGAAATGGGATGGAAAACCCACCTCTGCCCCAGCAGCAGGGGTACATGAGTCGAGAGGAAGAACAACCATCACAGAAATCCTTCAAGGATAAATGCCACTCCACTTTCCAGTGGGCAAGTCCGCAGACAGAAGAGGAGGGTTGATGTTCCTTCTGATCCTCTCGAAGGGACCTCCAGTTCATATTTACAAGAAGTGAGCAATGAGTATTTGTGACCAAGACTAGAGGGGCCCTGCCTCCAGCCAGGTGGAGGAAAGGGGCAGTCGGATCTACTGGACTGTGTGGATGTGATGGCACATCAGACCCACAAGAGTATAAGGCTTTAGTGCCCAGTGCACAATGTACCCTGATACCACTGAGATATGTAGGGGCAGAATCCATTTCTTCTCTTCCAGGGAGAAGGGGTCTCTTCTGGTCAAGGTAACATGGCTGGGGGTCAGGTCAGGGGCTCCATGGTGAGCATTTTGCATGTGAATCACTCTCTTTGGTACACTTTTGTTATTAATATTTTTGCTGTTACTGTTTGTTTTCTTCCCTCATTGATGTTTTTCAGTAAATTGTTGTTAACTCAACCCATGATCTTTACCTTTTGTGCCTCCAGTTCTCCTCTCCAGTCCACAGCAGGGGACTGGGAGGGGGAGCGAGCCATGCATGGTTTTAGTGGGAGTACTAAATTGGAGAAAATCATCCCTAAACCACAACACCCCTCACTTCAAAGAACCCCCCCCTTGGGATGCCAGTGCTGCAGTATGAGCTCCCTCCCTCCACAGGCAGCAAGAGCCTTGAAGCCCCTCAACACACTGCTGGACAGTAGCTGCAAGGGATGCTCAGCACATCCAGGACTGGCCACTCAGCCCTGGAGTATTAAACAGGCACCTGTAGCCTGCACACGGGAAGAAACTGGTGGTGAAAAGCAAGGCAGGTCCGACCCCAGGCCCCCCAGAGCTCCCCTCCAGCAGGAGCAGCAGGAGATTTCAAGGCAGGCACTGGCAGATCTCAGTGCAGACATCGATGCACATGTGACAGCTGGCTACAGCCAAACACACCCCACCATACACACACACACCCCCTCTGGCCAAGCAAAGGTTAAACCAGCTGAGGAATGAGCAGGGAAACCCTCCCCAAGACAGGCTTGGGGGGGTGACACATCCTCCAGACCCCCATGTCTGTGCGTTCCTGGGTGGCTGAGGTGCCCTGGACATTTCTGGCTGTGCCCCCACTTCCACAGGTCCCACGGGATGGGTGGGCTCCTCACCTCAATACACTCATCAGTCCTGGCTATGCAGGGCTCAGCCACAATCACAGGGGACCAGTGACTGTCCTGGGCAGGGTCACACACACACATGCCATACGCCCTCCAACAAGGCAAGTCAGTAGGATGGAATTTTCCCCCCAAAAGGCAACCCCCCCACCCCATCAATTCAACAGAGATGCTCCTGTCTTTCACGATGCAGAGGAATCCCCATTCTCCAGCCAGAATATGTAAAACAAGGGCTGATAGCAAATGACCTGGGGTTGGTCCAGGTGTCACCATGGTTGGAGAGAGCAGAGGGGAAATGGTCTGTGCTTTATAGGGCAGGTCCTGGAACCCTTGGCCTCCAAGATCCCAGTTCAGTGCTGGTGGGATCACATGGAGAAATCCTTAAATTTGAGTTCAAGTGCTGCTGCTTCTGTGACAAAGGGGAAAGGAGAGCATGTGAGGCAGCACCCATCCTGGAGCCTCCTCAGCCACCCCATGAGAGCTCTGTGTGGCCCAGGGCAGGACAGAGCAGGGGATGGTCCAACAGGCCAAAGGAGAAATGGAGGGAAGCTCCAGTGTGAGACCAGGGCCTTGCCAGCCCCTGGAACAGGAGAGAGAGAGGAAGGAGGCTGGAGAAGGTGCATCCTTGGGGAAACACTCCTGGACGGAGATGGGATTGTGCATCTGCTGCAGGATTGTCCTTCGAGCGCAGGGAGAGTCAGGGGACTTGTGCGAGACCAGTGTGTGCAACCCCCTCCTTACTCTCCTCCTGGCACAGCAGACTCCAGCTGCTCCAGGCCTTGCTGGGCCCTCTCCATCCCCAGATCCATGGAGACCAGCAGGCCCAACCTAAGCTAGCTCCAACCCAGGCAGAGGGCCGAGGGCAGAGCCCAGGGGAAGGACAGATATGCCACGGCAGTGGGGCTGACAAATCCAGCCTTGGCTGTTTTGCCCTGTAACCTCCATTCTTGCTTCATTTCTCCACCTCGAGGGAGTTAATGCGCTGCAGGAACACACCACAAACCCGTGCTGGGGGTCACAGTGTCCAGAACAGGGCTAAGCAGCCCATCCCTCCCCGCTGCAGAGCAGGGTGGGCACGTGGGGAAGAGCCCAGAGCCATGGGGCAGTTGTGGTTACAGCTGGGGTTTGAAGAACTTCGAAGGGAACTGCAGCAGGTTTGTCTGGAAGTTGCCTGACAGAGATCTTTCCAGGCTTGCTGTGTCTCCCAAGATGGGACATGGCAAAGGAGCTCAGAGGTGCCCACCTCCAACTGCAGGGGACAGGTAGACAGAGGATGGGGAAGAATAGGAGTACCAGGAAATCCTTCTGCAGCCCCCACAGCAGAGAGGTGTCCCACGAGTAATGGCTCCAGAGAAGCACCCTCTGTACTTGTGTCCTGGCCAGCAGACACCAAATGTCCTCGTGGTTGTGGAGAAGGACTCCTGCAGGAACCAGCCCCAGAGCAGCACATCACAGCAGAGGCCACACAAGCCCACAGTGGCAGGAGGGAACTGGGTATCTCCAAGAAGGAGCCAAGGAGCTCTGACCCCCAGAAGTCCTTACAGCAGGATGGGTGAGAGGAGAGATGAAATATTTCCTGGTCACCGGAGAGCCATCGAGAAACCTCAGCAGGAGGGAAGGTGGAGCTGTCAGTGCCCCACAGAGCTGCCAGTGCCCCACAGGAGCTGGCAGTGCTCAAAGTATCACATGAGGCATCCTCCACCCCGTTGGGTCAGGCACAAAGAAATCCCTGTGCTGGGCTGAGTGCTCCTGTAGATGAGCGAGTCCTAATAGCAGGGGGAGGCACCCTGACCTTCACCCTGCTCCCAAGCCTTCCAGTCTTTCTGCAGTTCCTAGTTTGACCCCGCGGGCAACCTCCTCCCACTCCAGAGCTTCACTGTCAAGTCGCTGAGGAACAAAGGTGAGAGGGACAGCATGACCCAGGGGTTGGGGCAGGAGCCCCGCAGACGCTGCACGGAGGACCACGAGGGGCCATGCTCCCCTCCCCACCCACGGCAGCATGCAGCCCCCAGAACTTCCAGGCCCTTTTCCCTTGGCAGGAGGTTGCCCAATGCACTTTGGGGAGCGGGCAGGCCCAATGGGGCTCAGCCCACTGGCAGCAGGTGGGGACAAAGGGAAATGGTGACCTCCAGGGCTGACCCCACACCATGACTCCTGCCCCCCTTGGTCCCAGCACTGATGTCCAGGGAGCTGCTCTGCTCAGTCCCCCCGGGGCACGGGCTGATTTGGGGGTGGCTGCTGATTCCCAACCCACTATCCATGCAAAGGTGTGGGCAGGCCACGGCTTCCACAGAGTTGCCACAGTGGATGTGGGCACTTGGCAAGGAAAAAAAACCCAAAAAGCAAATGAAACCAAGGCAGGGGGCATGGCTGGGACAAGGGGACGAGTCCCTTCTAGCAAAGACTTATCAAGTGGGGAAAAACGCAGAATAGTTTCATACCGTGAAGAAGCAGCTCAGACCAGAGAGAAAGAGGGGAAAAAAGAGAGAGAAGAGCAAAACCGACAGTGAGAGGGACAGAGGGAGGGAGAGATGGAGAGAAAAGGGAAGGAGAGACAGAAGAAGAGCACATGAGCAAGAGAGTCAAAGAGCAGGAGGGTCAAGGCAGACTAGTAGCACGGCCCTTTATGGCAAGGACGCGTCGTGGAAGGCAAGGGGTGAGCCCAGGCACGTAATTCCATAACTTTACCCGGCAGTCGCTGTGGCACAGATGGGAGGTGGGGAGGAGGAGAGACAGAGAGAGACAGAGAAAAAGGAAGGGAAAAAAGGGACATGGTCGAAAAGAGGGTATCAGAGTCTTGCTGCCAAAGAGCTCCCCAAGAGCAGCAGAGGATGCCCAGCCCCGGGGGAGAGGGGTCCCTGCATGGGGGGTAACCCAGGGCGTCACCAGAGTGGGCAGGGGATGGCTGGGGACAGCTCTTGTCACCGTGCTGGGCAGGCCGTGCCATGGGCAGGCTAAAGTGGGCAAGAGGAGATGAAGGCGTGGAGGGACTAGAAAGCTGTGAGACTCTCCCCTTCCCTCCCTCCCCGCTCCCTGTTCACCCAGCACACACCCACCCAGGCCCAGGGGTGACAGCTCAACCCCGGGGTCTCCCCCTTCCCAGGGGCTGTGGGGGCAGAAGGCCTGAGGCTCACCTGGAGGCAGTGAAGATGTGCTTTGAGTTGGTGCAGATGGCGTTGATGGGGCTGTCGTGCCCCTTGATCTCCCCGACTGGGGTGAAGGTGTCCACGTTCCAGACTTTGATGACACCTCCTCGGCAGGCGCTCAGCACCATGGGGCGGCCGGGGATGAAGGCCAGGGCACAGACCCAGTCTTTGTGGGCATTGGGGATTTGCTGCAGGGATGGGCACAGAGCAGAGGTCATGACCAACCTCAGCTGCAGCACCACCAGCAGCCTCACACACCCAACCCGGTCAGCTGGGTCCTCAGTGACACCCTGGGATTGTGGGACTGGTGATGCCCAGTTAGGAGCCAAGGGGATGGACTCAAAAGTCAGGGCTTGGTTTCTCCCCTGGGCCGGAGACAACCATCCTGAACTCAGAGGGGAACACAACCCCCCACACTACAGCTGATGCTGAGCCTGTCTGTGGGGGAGCTGGCAATCCCGAGTGCCCTCACCCACACCCGGCCCAGCATCAGGAATGTCCTCCTTGGTGAGCTCCACGCAGGACACTGGCACTACATCCCTGGACAAGGGTCCCCCCCAGACCCCAGCAGCAACATCCCTCTGCCCCACATCACTGCAGAACTGGTGCTGTGCTCCCCTCCAGACCTGGGTAAGTTCCTGCTGCTCCAGATCCCACTTCTTAATGCCGTTGTCCCTGGAGCCGCTGAAGAGGACATCTCCCTGGATGGCCAGGCACTCGATGCCATCGTAGTGAGGGGGCTCAAAGTTGTGAGTTGGGCCAATGTTGCCCACCATGCCCTCTGTGATCTCAAACACCTGGGGAAGAGCAGTGGGTAACAGACCACAGATGGCACTGGGCACAGAGCTGGCCCTCTCCTGAGGATCTCTGTGTTCTAGGCTCAGGGCACCCAGAATGGTGCTGGAAAGGGGAGTGGGCATTGCCAGCTTGAGGCTTTTTGGGGCTGAGGGTCCTGCCACCACCAGAGGAGATCTGTCACCAGGGACAGCCCCACTCTGTTGCATTTTACTCCTGGTGAGCCTTTACACTCCCCATAAGCCAAGCTGACAGCTGAGTGGGATCCTGTCTCACTCACCATCTCACCATCCCTGCTCACTTGCCTGGTGCCAGCTCTAATTCAACTTGCTAAAACCTGAAATGAAGGGACAGGCTCCTGCTGTGCTGGAGCTGTGACCGAGCAGGCACAAAGCATCTATATCAGGCAGGGGGGGGGGGAATTGAGCAGAACGGGGTGAGCTGCTCATCTGGGTCAGCCATCACAGGCCAGTCCCAGCCACCGAGTCCGAGGGACAAGAGAAATGCAAATCCTTCTCAGAAGGTGCACTGTGGACCAAGCAAAAGGCAAGATTTGGGAAGAGGATACAAGTGAAAACCTCATATGCAGAGGCGAAAACAGAATCTGGGCTCAGCTTTCAGAAGGAGAGAAGAGACCTCAGGGGTTGCCAACATCTGGGCTTCCCTACAGGACAGGGGGTGCTGATCCCCAAGGAAGAGAGTACCTTGACGTAGTGATCTTTGGAACCCGTGACCACCAGGTCGTGGTTGCTCGCTGTCTGGTTCACTGTGAGACACATCACGGGCCCGATGTGGCCGCTCAGCTTTCCCACAGGCTGCAACCTGGGTTCAAGGGCACAGGTCAGCCCCCTCCTGGGTGCTGCAGCTCCTCCAAAGGGCCCTCCCAGGCAGAGACCACCCACCCCTCACCCAGCACTGGAGCCCCACAGGAGGGGTTATTCCCTTCGGGGGACAGTGGGCAGGGAGATGTCATTCCCAGTGACGCTGGGGAAGGAAGGCAGTCTGAGGGTGTGCCAACATCTGGCTACACGGCCTGAAAGTGTGCCAACATCTGGCTGCAGAGCCCAGGCTGTAGCACAGGGTGTGCAGCTCAGTGCCCAATAGGCAGGTAGGAGGGCAAGGGCAAAACCAGGGGGTAGTGCTGCTCATCCCACTTGTCTTCCCCCTTTCTCCTGAGCTCTGCCCAGTGCACAGACAAAGCCCCCACCCCAAGCAGCTCCAATGCTGCTCATCACTCCTCAGGTCTCATAGGAACGGGCCCTGAAATTCCTTATTCCAGTCAACTTCCATTACTAAAAAGGCTTTCGCTTTTCCCAGGGGGATAATTTCAGGCACCCACAAGGTGTCCTGCCCAGCTCAGCACCCCCCTCACCTGCTCAGCTCCCAGATGCGGACGGCGTTCCCGGCGGCGGCGTAGAGCGTGGTGCCCGTGGGGTTGAGGGCGATCTGGTTGATCTGGTGCTCCCCCTGCACGCTGGTGACCGTGCGGGTGGTGGTCCCAGCACAGGCGTCCCCAGAGATCACCTGTCCAGAAGATCTAAAGAGGAGAGAGAGAGGTCAAGGGGGGGAGGATGAGTGGAGATCAGAGCCACTGAGGAACTGTCCCTCTGGCCACAATGAGACCAACAGGAGCTCTGTCCCCCAGACCAGTGCCCACCCTGCAGAGGCAGCCAAGGATGTCGGGTCTGTGCATGACACAGAGCATGGGGCCCTGGTTTCCATCTGAGGGCCACTCTGCTCTCCTCCCATTCCTTTCTGCTTCACACAGGAAGAGCTGGTGAGTGCTGGCATCCAGCATAGGGAAGCAGAGGTCTTGACCTCTGCACCAAGGGGAAAGCACCTTCAGGCCAAGGCAGATGAGCTGAGGCTGGACAGAGAAAGGAGCTCTGGGCCAGAGTGAGTGGGTAACTCTGGTCCACCATACTCTCCCCTAATGTTTGAGCCCTACTTCAAGCTGGCAGCCACAGCTACAGCCTGCTCCATGCTCCTTTCTGGTCCTCAAACTCCTCACAGAGATCTGAGTTCCCCACTGGAGAGCTTGAGATTTACCCAGCCACGATGCTGTTGGGGCTGTGTCTCCCCTCTGGAGCTGCTGGCTCTCCTGGCCACTCTCAGAGTAGCTGCAAAACCTCTTCAAAGCTCTTGACCCTTAACAAGGGAAAATACTGGATTCTGCACCTGGGATGAGGCAACCCTGGCTGTGTGTATAGACTGGGGAACAGCAGGACTGGAGAACATCTGTGGGAAGGGACCTGGGGGTCCTGGTCAATGGAAAGTTGAATGTGATTCAGGAGGGCCAACTATGTCCTGGGTGGCATCAGGCAAAGCATCACTGGGTGAGGGAGGGGATTGTCCTGCTCTGCTCTGCACTGGGGTGGCCTCACTTCAAGTTCTGGGAGCAGTTCTGGGCACCACAATACAAAAACCTAAGCCATTAGAGAGTGTCCAGAGGAGGATGGGGGTCTGGAAGGGAAGCCAAGGAATGGCTGAGGTCACTTGGTTTGTTCAGCTGGAGAAGAGACTAAGAGGAGACCTCATTGTGGTCTTCAATATCCTCACGAGGGGCAGGTACCCATCTCTTCACTCTCATGCCCAACGACAGGACTTGAGGAAACAGCTGGAGCGGAGTCAGGGGAGCTTTAGGCTGGATATCAGGAAGAGGTTTTTCACCCAGAGGGTGGTTGGGCACTGGAACAGGCTCCCCAGGGGAGTGGTCACAGCACCAAGCCTGAGTTCAAGAAGCAATTGGACAATGCTCTCAGGCACAGGGTGGGATTGTTGGGGTGTCCTGTGCAGGGCCAGGGACTGGACTCAATGACCCTGATGGGTCCCTTCCAACTCAACATGTTCTGTGATTCCGTGATCCTGAGTCTTCTCTGCAGAAGGTCCCCATGGCTCTCCTCACCCCAAATTCTCCCACAACCTCCCTGTTCCCTAAGGAAGCAGCACTGCAAACTGGCACTAAAGGAGCTGTTACTTGGCCCTGCCCCCAACCCCTGTAGGTCCTGGGACCGGCTCCTGCAAAGCCAGAGATGCCCAGAGTGCCCCGGGTCTCCCAGAGCCGAGGGACGTACGTGAGGGTGCGGATGCAGCGGGCGGAGTCGCGGATGTCCCACACTTTGATGTACGACGTGGACACGGTGAACACCAGCCCCGTGTGGCTGCAGTACTTGATGGAAACCACATTGTTTGGGTGACCCTTGAGGGAGGCGATTTCCTGGCCCGTCACCAGGTTCCACATTTTGCAGCTCCGGTCTGTGGGAGGAAGAACATTCCCGAGAGTGTCAGGGCGGGTCTCCTCCGAGGAGACAACGTCTGTTCTGAGCATCTCCCCCCTCCCACAGGGCCAGAGGGAAAGGAGCCAGCCAGCCCCCGCACTGGGGCAGGGCAGGGCTCAACGCTGAAGACAGGGACTGTCCCTGCAGTGCCCAGCACTTCCCACATTCCCAATGCCAACCTGCTCCCACAGCATCCGCACCTCCCCTGCCCCCTTTGCCCACCACGCACCTTTGGACCCCGTGAAGAGCAGCTCGTCGGTGGCATCCAGGCAGAGCACAGGCTTGGTGTGTCCCTCTGCCACCGAGACACACTGCAGTGGGGCTGTCCGGGCATTCTTGGTGCCACCCACTGGGTTAATGATGCCCCTTCGTGGGAGAGAGAGAACAGGTACAGTGCAGGGCTGGAGAGGCACTGTGCCCACAGTCCCAGGGCATGGGAGAGCTGTCTCACACCAAGCACCTTCCACTGCCCAGCTGAACCTGGCATGTCTGAGCCAAGGTCTTTGTAGGAAACCCCAGGAGTCTCCCCAGGGGCAGCCCCTTCCCACCTCTGCCCCGGCAATAGACTGGGAAAGGGGGAGGCTGCCCAGTGGCCTCTGCTCTCCCCCTAAACCTCTCGTGCCTGGGCAGCAGAGACTCAGGACAGGTCAGGAGACCCAGCTCACTGGCCCTAAGGTCTATTTTGGGACAAACTGCCCCCTCTCCAGCTGGAAGCTCTGCTGGGATAAACGTTTCAGGGCACCAATATCAGCACCCCAGTCCCTTGGGGGCCGTCAGCCTGTAGCTGGTGACATTTGGAGACAGGGCCCTGCTCCTTTACACAGACCACAAGGGTGACAAAGGGCAGCACCAGCTTTTGCACCCCACATCCCTGTCACAGTGGCTGCTCCTGCAACCACTACTAGCTTTGGGCAGGAGAACCTCCCCCTGCCAAACCTGCCTCCAAGGGACACTGCTGCCTGTCCCAGGGGACACAGCACCTGCCAATCCCCTCTACTTCAGACATGCTGAGGGTGCTGAGGACCACCAGCCCAACCCTTCCATGTGTGACCCTTGGGACCCTGGTGTGCCTGGTCAGCAAGCACAGCCACCCACAGCCAAGGGACCCCAGGCTGGGCTGGTTTCTTCTTACAGGCAGGGAAACTGCAGTGTGGGGCTGGGGAAGGGCAAGGTCTGCGTTAGTCATGAGGATAAGCACAGGCTCATTAATTTGGGTTTGGGAATCACATGCATGTGATGGTTCTTCCTCAGCTCTGCACTTAGCAATGCCAACCCAACAGCCCTCCCCTGACTCCTGGTGCTTCCACCAGTCTCAAAGTGTCACTGAGTCCAAGGGGAAATCCTGACTGCGTGGGGTGAGATGTTTTGCACTGACTGTGTGTGTCTGCCTGACTAAAAACTGCTCAAAGTGACACAGCCCAGACTGGTCTGCTGACACTCCCCCAGCGACTGGGGGCCTGCAGGAGCTCAGGTCACAGGCAGAGTGAGGGGACACCCAGGTGCTGGAGAGCTGCTCACAGAATCATGGAATGGTTTGGGCTGGAAGGGACCCTAGACACCATCTCATTCCACCCCCCTGCCACGGGCAGGGACACCTTCCACTAGACCAGGTTACTCCAAGCCCCATCCAACCTGGCCTTGAACACAGCTCCTCTGGGCAACCTGTGCCAGGGCCTCACCATCCTCACAGGAAAAATTTCTTCCTGACATATGTTTTAAATCCCTCCTTTTTCAGTTTAAAACTGTTCCCCCTTGTCCTGTCACTATCTGCCCCTGTAAAAAGTCACTCTCCCTATTTTTTATAAGCCCCTTTAGGCACTGGAAGGCCACAATGAGGCTGATGTTCCCTAAGGATGGGGGAAAGTTGGTCCTTGTGTTGGGAAACCTCCACAGGCAGGTGGGTGCAGTGGGAGAAGCCCAGGAGCACCTTAACCCCAAGGCTGAGCTCTGCACCACAATCTGACTGGATTCCTTTAGGAAAGAGATCAACCTTCCCCAACTCAGCACCAGGGAAGCACAACCAGGCACGGAGAGAACCTGAGATATTTGCCTGGAAGAAGCTTACACGAAGGACACACTGGAAGCACCCAGGGTCACTTGTCCCCTTCCCCACCACCCCACCATCCTGCTGGAGAGCTGGGGAAGGTGTGGGACACGGTGGCCTCAGGCTGGCAAGAACCCATCAGAGATGGAGGAGAACATGCTGCCAACCCCAAACCAGCCAGTGCCCGCAGGTGAGCCCAGCGCCGTGTTTCCAAGGGCTGATCCAAGCAGGAATGGCTCTTAACTTGCAACCGAGGGGACAACATCAGGCACTAGAGGTGGCATGCCAGGAGGGGACAGACACACGAGCTGGGAGGGGGGGAGAGCAGCAAGGTGCAGGCAGAGCATGTGGGGACAGGGAGAGCAGGCACCTGAGACAGAGAAAGGAGGAGCGGAGGAAGGGATAATAAATAGAAAGTTGTCTATACCTCAGCACCTCCGAGACAGAGGAATCGCTGTCATCAGACCTAGGGGCAGAAAATTAGCAGGATTATGGGAGAGAAAACCCAGACTAGAGGAGGCAGCAGTGGAGTCAGAGGTGGAGGATTGTTATTGCATCCAAGCCAGTGTAGGGATAGAGAGGAGGAGGGGAGAGAGGGAGAAAGAGAAGCACACATGGAGAACCAGGGGAGAGCAGAGGAGCAGAGGGCATGTGATGATCAGACAGCAGGTCTCCATCAGGGAACGCCGGCGCTGCTAACAGTGTCCGAGCTGAGGGCAGCACCCAACCTGGGGCAGGCTGGAGCAGCATTTGTGGGTGAATGCCAGTCCATCAGCTTCCTGTGAGCCCTCACCCCCTCACCCCATCCTGTTCCATCGCCCTTCCAGGGCCCCAGGTCTGGCACTGTCCTGTCTCCAGGCAGAAGCCAGGAGTGTGAACTCAGAGGGGGCACAGTGGGCAGGAGCACAGCACTGGCACAGCAGCTGCTCCCTCACAGGGAGAAGCAGGGGAAGTAAAGTGGTGACAGGACAACTGGCTGGAGCCAACCCAAGTCCTGGTGCTCCTTTTTGCCCCCACGGGGCTTGGTACGTGTGTGCTGTCACGGTCTGGGTCCCCCTCACTCACACACTCCCACCCCACCAGGACTTACTTATCCAAGGCAGAGCCCTGGCTCTGGGTGCTCGTCAGGCGGGAGAAGACGTTGCGGTCGTTGCGCGGGCGGGTGGGAGGGGAGGAGGGAGGTGTGAAGCCAATGTCTGCAGGCCTGAGCCGGGAAGGATCAGAGGGATGTACGACTCGGGAGCTGCTCACTTGGCACCAGCAGGGCCCAGCAGAGCTGCCCAGACAGCATCCTTCCCCACCCAGCCTCCCCCAGCCACACCACCGTCTCTCCCAGGCTCACCTGGCAGGTTGCCCACGGTCGTAGGATTTCCGCCTTGTCAGGGGAGAAGTGTCTGAGCCTCGAGACTGCCTGGGACTGAAGCGAGGGAACAGAGCAGGGTGGGTGCCTGCCCTGCACTGGGATCCCTCCACAATGAACACCCGTGTCCTCCCCCACAAGAGTAAATAGAAGTTGGGCCGCCCTGGAGTCACCATCACACAGTCAGAGGACGCCTCGAGGCAGCCCTGAGCGCGGAGGCTTTTGGCAGCCCAAGGTGGCTGATAACCAAGAGCAGGGAGTTGGGGACCTTCACACACCCCCTTCTTTCCCTCCTCCTGAAGCACCCTCCTCTCCATCTGCAAAGGATACCAACATACTCCTCAACACTCTCCAAGTCCCGATGGAGAAATCCACCACTGCTTGCTGCAGCCAAGCCTGGATAGATGCTGGACTGGGCTCACCTTCACCCCTCTCCACCTCCACAGGCCAGACACAGCTTCCCATGGGCTGGCCCACGCCTCCACGAGCCTCCCAGTGCCCAGAGACCCATCACCCCATGCTCACAAGGTGCTTCCTCGCGTGGGCAGGCTGACGGTGCGCGACACCTTCTCCTTGTAATAGGGGTCTCGGATGGAGAAGCCGATCCCATCCTCTTTGATCTCCATGAGGGATGCCAAGGACTTGGTGATGTTCTTGGTAGAGACGTCCAGTGTGGGTCCCAGACACTCAGCTGACACCGCCTTCATCTGCCCCGAGAGCTTGGGCTCTCCCTAGAGCAGGGCAGAGGGCTCAGGGCTGGGCAGCGGGAGCAGCCAGTGCTGTGGGGTGGGGAGCTCGTGCTCTCTGGCCACAGGAGGCTGAGCTCCCCCAGGTCACACTGGGATGCCCATCACAGCCAGCTCTCCATGCTCAGAACAAACATACTGACAGCCTATACAGAACTGTATAGGCTGCTTCCCTCCACCTCTGCCCTGCACAGGGTCCTCCTTGATGCCACTCAGATCCGCAGGGCTGGTGTGGTGGGTGTTTCCCAAGTTTCTGGTATCTCAGGACCACAGTACCAGGAGATCTTGGTTCCTTCCATCCAGGGATCAGCCATACTGCCTATGCTAAGCCTGGTTCCCCAAGGTTCAGACCACAGAGCAGAGGCCTGGAGCACTGCTGAACATCCTTCCATCCCTCCTCCCAGTCCCTGTGACAAGGGCCACACAAAAAGGCCAACTAACCTTGAACTTGAAGTCATCCTGGCTTGCTGAGCCCTTCATGGTGAAAGACTGGGAGATGCTGCAAGGAGAAGAGAGCAAAGACAGATCTTCATTGCCAAACTCTCTTCAGAAAGCTGGTGCCACTGGTCACTAGACTCCTTGGTTTACCCCCTGCTCCCAGCACCCTTTCTCCAAGGAATGACCACATCACTCCCCACTGGTGTCCAAGAGACATCTCTGCTCCCCCCACCAAGGGCTGGGCACCACAGAAAAGCTCCGGCGGGGCTTTGTTCATCCACAGGGTCCCCTGAATGGCACCAGGCATCTTGCCCCAGGCACCACCAGCTCAGACAGCACCAGGCTGGTGCTTACCTCCCATCTGAAGCCAGGCTGAACTCTGAGACCTCCTCATCCGTGCTGGTGTAGCCGTTCTCTGTGTGAGAGGGAGGCAGCGCATCAGCAGCGCAGAGGGGACCCCACTGTCCCCAGCCCCATCTGAGCCACACAGTGGAGGGGACACCCCAGGCAGCTGTGAGGGGTGACCCCATTCCTTGTCCCTGTTGTTCTGGTGGCCAGGGCACACGGCCCTACCCAGCATCACCCTCGAGGCAGGGTCCCAGCCATGGCACCTCCAGGTGCTTCCTGGAGGGCCGGCACAGGGTGGACACCCCACCCCACCCCACAGGCCAGCGGATGAGCACACCTGGCCTGAGGATACACACGCCCAGCCCAGGTCCCACCTTGCTGGACGTTGTGGATCAGCGCCTGCAGCTCGGGGTGGGACTCGGCCTTCTCCCGCAGGGCGTCCAGGATGGCGTGGTTCTGTGAGGAGCTGGCCACGTCTGTCTGCCGCAGTCGCCCCTCCAGCAGCCGGATCTGGGCCTCCTTCTGGGCTACCTGCAGCCCCTGGGGAAGGACAGCCACGCTGGGGCTCAGGCAAGTGTCACAGGTCCCCACCACCAGGTGCCCACCCTGGCACCCTGTGAGAAACCCTGTCACGCTTCCACACCCCAGCCTGGCCCTGCACCTTGTCGATGGAGGCCTTCAGGAAGTTGTCCAGCAGCAGCCGGGCTTCGGCCAGGGAGCAGGAGCTGATCACCACCGAGGTGTCCGTGGAGTCCAGCTCCTCCTGAAACACGGAGAGACAAGTGCTGGTTGCAGCAGCGGAGCTTTGCTGCTGGACAAGGGATGGGCAGAAGGGGCTCCATGGCCAACACAGCACCTCCATCATCCTGCAAGCACTGCCCAGTCCAACACTCGTCCTCCCCAGTCTGCCCAGTGGCTACTGGGGAGATCTGGCCACGGGGCTGTCCAACACAACCTGCAGGGCTTCTGCACTGCTACAGAAATTCTGGGGCCAATGCTTAATTAGACACCAAACAGACACCAGGCTCACCTGAATACACAATCCAAAGCCTAGTGTGAATTAACAGCAGCTCTCCTTCCCTGCCAATCCCCCAGGGGACAAGCCAGGGACAGCACACAGTCTCCATTTTGGGCTTCAGACACTGAGGGGGATCAGGAGCTGCACAATGGCACGCCCAGTGTCACAAACGGACACAAAACCTGGATAGCTTCTGCTGGGAAAAAATCCAGTCCTCTTGGGACATTTCCAGCACATGAAGCTCCCATGGGGACGAGTGACCATAAGCACCATGGGCAGGATGGGGGGCCACAGCTTCCCTACAATTCCAGGGCAGTGGGATGACAGCAGCTTGTCCAGGGACATGCAAGGACCTGCCAGCACTCCTCTCCACAATTAACCACCTAATGAGAAGTGTCTGTGTGGGTGCAGCCCCAGCGAGTGTGACACAGCTCAGAGGATACTCCTGCCACAGAGAGATGCTCTCGCTCTCCCCCTGACAACTGGGCCCAGTCCCACTGCCCACCTTGGTCTCCTCAATCTGCATGATGGTGGCCTGGCAGTCTGAAATGCTGTCGTTGATGTAGTCAATGTTGGCCCCCAGCACCTCAATCTCCTCATTCAGCTCTTGCAGCCCTTTCTGCTCCATGGGGCTCTCTGCCTGCAGCTTCGCCCGCTTGCCCAGCAACGCCTCCTGCAGCAGTGACAGCTCCTCGCGTTTCTGGGGGAAAAGGGAAGGGGGATTGGCACTGTCTGCACAGCCATCCCCCTGTCCTGCACCCACCACCCGGCCCTCTCCATCCCCAGCACCACGGCCACCTTGATGAGCCTCTCCATGTCCGCCTCGAGGTTGACGATGGTCATCCTCTGCATGACGATGTCGAAGATGCGCCGCTCCAGCGACTGCCACTTGAGGCGGGCGGCTTTGCTGAAGGTCTGGCTTGAGCCCTTCTTGGGGAACTTCTTCCTGCAGCCAGAAGGGAGAACAGGCACATAGGCAGCCAGCCACACTGTGCTGGAGAGCTAGGCTTGCCCCAGGAGGATGCCAGGGCTTTGACTGGCCAGAAGCAGAGGAGCCATCTGCCCAACTTTTCCATTGCCCCTTAGCAAAGAGGGAAAAGAGATGAGCCCGGCAGGGTTTGTGCCATGGCATTTAATCCTTGTGGAAGGCCAGCTCTGGGCTCAAGCCCAGGTGACAGTCAGTCACAGTCTGCCAGCACAGCCCGTCACAGGGTCATTAGTTTAATACAGGTCAAGTGCACACTAAGAAGCCAGCCTTCAACCTCTGCCACCAGCCAAAAGCCAGGCACGGGGATCTCTGGGATGCCTTACTGTCCACCCACCCAGCCCCTGCCCTGACCTGGCAGGCCGAGCCCCGTTCACAGAGGACGAGGTGTCTCCCAGGAAGTTGTTGATTTTCCTGTTCCACTGGCGCACGATGCTGGAGACGGAGCGAGCGCCGGACTCGGGCTCGGAGGAGGTGGTGCTGGCCGAGACCTCTGCGCCCGAGTCCAGCATAGCCGGCTTCTGGCTCGTCCTGCCCGCCACCCGGTCTGACATGGGCTTGGCCAGACGGCGCAGTGCTGACACCTGCCCACGAGGAAGGGCAGAGGAGAGGGTGTCAGCTGGGCACCCCCACCCAGCCCAAACCTGCTGATGTCACTCCGTGGTCCCCATGGGACCAAGAGCGGCAGCTCTGTAGACCCAAAGCCCAGGGACATTTGGGCCTCATGGGTTTCCCTCTCCTCCCTCATCCCCACCCCTGCCACCAGGCTCTGCTGTCCAGGATGAGGAATTCTGCTGCTGCCTGCAACCATCTCCCACATGGTTCCTGAGCCACCAAACCCCTCCCACCCTTTTGGGAACCCCACTCCCAGAGCTGGTCCTGTCTAAAGGACAGGGTTTCTCTGAGCCAGGCACTGGGGGCCCAGCCCTGTATGGGGGGGCTGGGACCTGTGTGGAGACAACCCACTCCCCTCACCTCCTGGGTTTTCCTCCGCAGCACTATTTCCTGTTGCCGCTTCTGAGACTCCAGAGCCCTGATCTGGAACTGCATGAGGGAGAAAGAAAAAAGACACCCCTGGGGTCCTGTCCATTCACCCCAGTGATAGCTTCAGTCCCAGGGCTCCCTTTAGCACAATCTCACTCCTGATCCTAACAGTGAGCAGGTTCCCAGCCTCCAGCTGGCCCTGACTGCACGTTGACTCCCGCACACGGCAGGGGAGGGAGCCCACAGCATCCCCCACAACCACAGCAGAAGCTGAGGGAAGGCTTCAGGAACCAGCCAGCCAGGTGTGCTGTGCTGGGGCTGCACAGACCCCAGCGAGGCCATGGGCACAGCAGGGCCCCAAGCTTCACCGACTTGAAGTATTTATTGAGCACCTGGAGCGCCAGAGCAGGACAAACACCACCCCCCCAGCCAGGCCAGCCCCCCTGTACGGGCACACATGGCGAGCTGGGTTCTCACCTCCTGCCGGCGCTGCTCCTTCTTGAGCTGTGCAATCTCCCGGTTCCTCTTGGTCTCCACCAGCCGCCGCCGCTGCTGCTCCTCCCGCATCTGCTTCATCAGCGCGACCTGCAACGGAGGGTTCCGTGTGCCCCGACCGCCCCGGGCACCCGCCCACCCAGCAGACAGATGCTCTGCACTTGCCACCAGAGTGGAAAACATTGCTCCGAGCGGGAAGCCAGGCTTGTTCGGGGGATCCCTCCCTGCCCTGGCACATCCAGGTACCTTTGCCTTCTTCATCTCGGCCACCTCTGCCTGCAGCTTCCGCAGCTCCCGCTCGTAGCGGGACTGGTTCTTGAGCAGGCGAGCGTGCTCCTTCTGGGCTGCCTGGAGCTTCTGCAGGTCCCGGTTCATCTCCTTCAGCCGCTTCTCATAGTCTGCTTTGATCTTGTTGGCTTTCTCCTCTGTGTAACACTCCATGGTGCCTGGTGGGTGAGGAGAGGGTTTGCAACAGCCATGCACCCTGGGATCCTCCTGCACCCACATACCCTGCCTGGACACACCAGGCACTGCTTCCTCCCTGTCCCACCATAGCCCCCCCTCACCCCGCTGTGGGCTGGGGTCTGTCTGGGGATCCTGCTGGAAGGGTCCAGCACGGGGTGGAGACTCTGCTGGGCTGAGCTGTGTCTCCTGGCAGAGCTGCAGACTGAGACCCACAGCCACAGCATGGGTGACCCTGCCCTGTTTAGCCTGGACATCAGCCACAGCACAGGGTCTTTTGCCCCTGGTGTCCTCACTGAAGTGGTGGGGGCTCATGAAGTGGTGCTCAGTGCTACAAGAGGCTTTGCCTTGCCATCCTTCTCCAGCACCAGCAGGGTCCAGAGCTCTGTGCTGACTGGTCCTGCTCCCATAGCAAGACAAGCAGGGTCTTGGGGGGTCCCAGGGACTTGAGCAGAGGCAGAGGATGACAGAGCTCTACCAGAGCCAGTGTTGCATGCCAGGGGTGGATGCTCTGACTCTGAGTCAGCTGGGCAGGAGCAGGAACTGGGGGCCTGATGCTGCAGGGGTGGGATCCCACAGGTGAGGTGGTTCTCACTGAGGTTTTGCAGGACCCGGTCCCGCTCCAGCTGCGTGTCCCGAATCTTGTTCTGCAGTAGGATCAGCTTCTCCTCATACTGATGCTTGAGGGTCTGCAAGCGCCGCTGGCTGTTCTCCAGCTCATCAATCAGCTTCTGCTTGATCTCAATCTCACAGGTCAGATCTGCCAGATCAGCCTGGAAATTCACAGCTGGAGGCAGAGGGGGACAATCAGGCTGGGAGGGGTGGGGGAGCATCGCTCCCATGGCCCCAATGAGCCACAGCACGAGGAGAGGGCAGAGGAGCTGATGGGAACCCACATTGCTAGGGAGCAGCAGCACCCCAAAGAGCGCTGCAGCAACCCTGGGGCTCTTCCAAGTCCCCCAGAGTCCTGGGGTTCTGCCTTCCCAGGAGCAGAGCTCGTTGCCAGAGGCACCAGCAATGCCCCCACATGCCCAGGGCTGCACACAGATCTCCACTTTACCCTTCTCCTCTGCATCCGAGTCTGAGTCCACCAGGCTCTCTTCACTGCCCGAGTCCTCATCTTCATCCTCGCGCCCATCCTCTTCCTCACAGCCACTCTCATCCTGCTCCTCCTCCTCCTAAGAGAGAAGTGCCTAACATCAGCCTGCAGCACGGCCTGCTCTTCTCTCTGCAGCTCCTCCCTCCTCCAAACTTGAGCTCACCCTACAGCAACGCACCACGGCCCCCACAGTGGGGCTCAGCCTCGCACACCGGGTGCCCAGGGGCTGCAGCACCATTTCTGGACCCCTAGTGCACACTGCTGAGAGGAGCAGCTCTGTGCCCCATCCATCCTTGCATCCATCCCCTCCCAGCTGAGCAGCCCTGCATTGCCCAACCCCCCTTCACCTGTGCCAATTGAAACCAAGCCTCCAAAATTGTGGACCCCTTGCTCCACAGCAGGGCTGGCCGGGGAGCATCCAACTGCCCCCTGCAGCAGCAAAACGACCCTTCCAAATTCCTTCAGGGCCAGCCTGGGCTTGGTCCCTGTCCCATGTGGGGCAATCACAGCACTACACACCCAGACAACCCCTCGGTATGAGCACAATGCCCGCTCACCTCTTCCACCTCGTTCTCATCCGTCTCCTCCCCGTTGTCCTGCTGCAGTTTCTGCTGCTTCCTTAACGCCTCCTTCTCTGGGCTAAGGGGGGAGCAGAGCAGGGTTGTTAAGTCCCAGTGTGAGGGAACCTGGAAACAGGTCCCGCTGGGACCACCCTCAGCCGCCTGCTTTTGGACCCGCTGGGGAAAACAGCCTCTGGAATTGTGTGGTGGGCAAAAAGAAGGCACCAGCAAGGCAGGGCTGGGAGGGGAACCCAGACATCCAGGTGGATAAGTGAAGCAGGATACCCAATACCACAAGGAGCAGCCAAACCCACAGGCAGCCTCTCCACTCCCCAAACCTCTGCCTTCACCTCTTCCTCTGCTGCCTCCGCTCCTTCTTTTTCAGGCGCTCCAGGTCCTGCTTGGCCCGTCGGAGGACATCAGAGGCCTCTGAATCCACTGGCACGGCGGGGCTGCACAGACCTGCCAGGCCAGCAGCTGGGGAGGAGCCCATGGAGTAGGGGGGCCGGGCAGAGGCTCGGGACAGGCTGCGGCGCAGGGACTCGTTCATGGACTCGCTCTCCAGAAGCTTCGTTCTAGGGAGTGGAAACAGGATGTAGTCAAAGAGGGGCCATCCCACTGCCCCCAGTTTGGGTTGGGAGGGACCTTAAAGCTCATCTCATTCCAACCCCCTGCCATGGGCAGGGACACCTTCCACTAGCCCAGGTTGCTCCAAGCCCCATCCACTTGCAGGGATGGGACTGGCACAGCAGCTTTGGGCAACCTGTGCCAGTGTCTCACCACCCTCACAGGGAAGAATTTCTTCCTAACTTCTAACCCAAATCTCTCCACTTTTAGTTTAAAGCTGTTCCCCCTTGTCCCACTGCTATGTGCCCATGCTTAAAAAAAAAAAAAAAAAAAGAAAAAGAAAGAAAAAAATCATTCTCCCTCTTTTTCAGAAGCACCATTTAGTCACTGGAAGGGGCTCTAAGGTCTCCCTTCTACAGACTGAACACGATGTGTTCGGATGGTGTAAGCCAGGGATGGATCCGCTACTAAGCCATTCCAGGTACTGATGGGTCAGAAAGTCACAACGCTGCCAGACAGGGTCCCAGGATCATGCAAGAGACTGGGGTGGACCCAACTTTGGGGGGCCAGCAGTCCCTCAGAGACCCCAGGCACTCCCAACAGGATCACCCCCTCCATCAATGCCTACACCAAGGACAACAATGGCCGAAGCACTGCCCAGCACCAAGGCTGGGCCTCCTACAACCCCCTGCAGCAGCAGTGCCATCAGCTGCTGTTCCACGGGGCTCACAGCTCACCCCAGCGACACTGGAGGCAGCGAGCTGTGAGACACCCAGGCTCGGACCCAGACACCAGGACCCCAGTGACACACCAGCCCTGCACCCACTCACCTCAGCTCTTCAATCTCCCGGATGTAGTTCTGGATGAGGGTGCCGATGGCTTCGTTACCATCCCCTGCAGGGGCAGAGGCACAGGCGGGTCGAGGCAGGCCCAGGCTGTACCACAGACCCCATCCCAGCCGTGCTGCCTGGTGACCCACCGTGCCACGCGCTAGCCAAGCCTCACCTGCCTTGGCCAGCATCAGGTTGGCCTCCTGGCTCATGAGGTAGGTGACCCTGCTGTTGATGGCATCGATGGCCTCCTGCATGGCCTTCACCCTCATGCGCAGGGCGCTGTTCTCCTTCTGCAGCATGGTGTTCTCGCGGAACAGGTCGCTGTACCCCTCTGCGCCGTCCTCCCCGATGACTCGCTTGCCCTGTGGGACAGGAGGGAAGCCCCTGAGTGCAGGGTGAGCTGGGACATGGGGACCCACCACTGCATCCCTAAGGGCAACCCCAGACACCACAGCAGGGACAAACCTAAGGACCAGAAAAGTCTGAGCTGAACAGGCAGAGGGTGAGAGATGTTTCAGGGCTTCTCCCTGCCTTAGCACTCCCAAAACCTAACCAAGGTCCTGCTTGTCACAGGCAAGACACTGTCTCTTAAGCCTCCTGACTCCTCTAGACATTACCCCTATCCATAGGGGCAGGGGATGGGAAGCAGGAGGGTCTGTCCCACTAAACCTGCCCCAATTCAAACATGAGGAGTGGGGCTTTCTGCACTTGCCTCCATCTGCTCCATCAGCTGGGTTTGCCCGGGGTGGATTAAATTCTCCTCACAGCACCTTGTGAGACTGTGTTTGGGATCTGTGCTGAAAACAGCACTGATTCCACAGGGATGATTTAGCTCTTGCTGAGCAGGGCTTGCACAGCACTAAGCCCTTCACCCTGCCCCACCAGCATTAGGCCGAGGGCGTAGAAGAAGCTGTGGGAACACAGCTGGGACAGCTGCCCCCCACTGACCACAGGGATATCCCAGACCATACAATGTCATGCTCAGCATACAAAGCTGGGCGAAGGAGGAAGAATGGGGGGCATGTCTGGAGTGTCATCCCAAGTCACCATTACACCTGACAGAGCCCTGCTGTGCTGGGGATGGCTGAGCATCTCCCTGTGATGGGACATGGGGAATGAGTTCCGTGGTTTGCTTTACTTATCAAACTGCCTGTATCTCAACCCATGAGTTTTCTGTTACTCTCCCCGTTCTCTCCCCCATCCCACTGGTGGGGCAGTGAGTGAGCAGCCCCATGGCTGGCCAGGGCAGGGTTAGGGTAGGGTACAGGACCACTCACTGCCTTGTACTCCATCAGTTCCATCTGCAGGCGGGCGATCTCAGCCCGCAGGGCACTGATCTGCTGGCTTGTCTTGTCCTGGTTCACCACCACTTTGTTCTTGATGTTGCGAGCCCGGTTGGCGTATTTGAGCGTGTTCAGGGTCTCCATGAAGTCCCGGTCAGAGGGGCTCACACAGGCAATCATGATGGTTTGGCTTGGGGATGCAAGGGCAGGGTGAAAGCCAGTCCCCCCCCACGATGTAGCAGCTCAGCAGCTGGAAAGCCAGGACCCAGCACAGGCCACGTGCCCCCAGACACCCATCTTGGATGGGGAGCCATCTATATTTTATAACCAAGGTATAAAGTGGGTTCATCCCTCCCAGAGCCAGAGCACCCACAAGACCATCGAAGCACCACATCACACAGCACTGAGCAAAGGCAGCTCCCTCTGGTCAGCCCACCCATTCTGGGATTGCCAGGGAAGACCTGGCTCTTTGGAGAAGAGGCAGGGAATTCAATCCCCCCCATGCAGGGCACCAGCACCTGCCAAGTCCCAGATCTGCGAGGGCTCAGGAGGGTTTTGCATCAGCTGATTCTGTCAAAGCTGCCAATTGCACCTTGGGCTGATGAGGAGCCAAGGCCTTTACATCTGCAAAGTCATGCCATGCCTGGAAGAAGGTATCCCCTCCCCACTGGGCACCCACGGGAGTGCTGAAATAGCTCCTGCATGGCTCCAGAGCCCCTCAGCTCTATCTGCAGAGGGACAGTCCCTGCAGCCCTAGCCCCAAGCTCAGCCCCCCCCTTACCTGTTGCCCCCAAGGGAATCCTGCAGCAGGCGGGTGAGCTTGGAGTCGCGGTAGGGCACGTGCACGACTTTCTTGCTCTGGTCTCCGAGGGCACTGATGACGTTCCCCAAGGCCAGCTACCAACACAAAGGGAAGGCCCCCAAATTCAGCCCTAGCTGAGCATACAGCTGCCACACAGCCAGCATGTCAGGCCTGGGGCATGTGCTGTGGCACAGGTTTGGGTTGCACAAGGGGGAGGCGGGGGGCTTCCCTTGCCAGTCTCACCTTCCCCCCTCTTCCCTGGCCTGTGCCTTTCTCCCATGTTGCACTGAGAAGCAACATCGAGCCCTAGAGTGGTCTTTTTAGCTCAGATTAACAGACCTCACACTTTTGGGACTTGCACCCCTGTGCTCAGCTGCACCCCCCCCAGCCCTGCCCTCGGCAACAGAGCCGTGCTCTCACCACTGGCACTGTGAATATTCCTGCCCTCAGGGCCGGGCAGCGCAAACCCCAGCTGAGACAGCAGCACCCCAACAGTGCAGAGCAGCTCTGGGCAGGACCCAGAAGTGTCACAGGCTCCCCCAGGCAGGCTCTGCCTCCCTGCTCCCCCTGCCCGCCGGTGCCAGGCTCGGGGCCGTACCAGCCCGCAGTTGATGGAGATCCCTTCCTTCGCCCTCTCGCCGGTTGCTCCCGTCCGCTTCAGCCTCTCCGAGCCAGCCAGGTCCACAAAGTGAAACTTGGCTGTCAAGGTCTCGTACTCGGTGGCGGGTTGGGATCCATCCAGGAGGCCGGTCACCTCCCCGTTCACCTGCAGCCAGGGACACAGGAAGGGTCACCACCGCAGACCTGGAGCAGGCTGAAGGTGCTTTGGCTGCACTCAGATGTCAGCAAGAGCCTGAGCATTCTCCCTCCACATCCAGCCCCTTGGGGATGGAGACGGGACTCCAACAACAGCTTGCTCTGAGCCATCTCTGGGCCAGATCATCACTGCCTTGGATCAGCTCACTCTCAGCTCCCATCAAATCCTAACACTGGCTACGACTGGAAAGAAGACAGATTTCAAACTCTCTCCCCTTCCCAAGGGACCTCCACGCATTGCCCGGGTATGGGGCCCAGGAACAGCCTGGCCATGAGGCAGCAGCACGTCTCACCAGCTCTGGGCGGGCACACACTCTCGTCTGGCACAGGTGAATGGTGAAGATGGCGTGGGACCGGGAGCTCTGCACGTTCATCTGGGTGCTGGCGGTGGTACGGGAAAGAGCTCCCTGTTTTAGGCACTGGATCAGCTACAATGACACCAGGCAGGGAAGAAAACCTTGAAGTACCTTTGTAGGGAGTCAGGACAGACCCTGTGCAGCCCAGTGGACACACCAACCTCTCCCAGAACCCCCTTGGGACTGCACCATGCCACCCTGGGAGAGATCTCCCCTTGCCGAGATGTCCCCACACAGCACACCCCTGGCCAGTGGTACCCAGCTGCCACCCCTGCTCCACGCCTGCCCACCCCACACCCACCTCGTCCTGCGAGCTGATGAGGCGCGACGTGACCCCCGTGGTGTAGATGCTCCCACTGGCATCCTCGTGGATTTTGATGTTGGATTTGCGGTGCCGCGCGTCAGGGTCGCGGGCGCTGTCGAACAGGTCCAGGATCTCCTCATTGTAGAGCTGAGTGGGGCAGCAGCAGGCGTGGGGTGAGCAGGGGGAAGCAGGAGGCTCCTCGAGCCCTCTGGCACCCCCCTGCCACCCCCCAGAGCTGGGGCTGCACGTCTGCTCACGCGTGTGTGCAAGGCTGAGCAGGGCAGCTGGTGTGTGTGCGAGCGCAGGAGAGGAGGCACAAGCCTGTGCATGCAGAGAGGAGATGATGCACAGAATCCTGGAATCCTTCAGGTTGGAAAAGCCCTCTAAGACCATCGAGTCCAACCGTTCCCCCAGCACTGCCGTGGCCACCACTAAACCATGTCCCCAAGTGTCACACCCACACATCTTTTGAACCCTTCCAGGGATGGTGACTCCACCACTGCCCTGGGTAGCCTGTGACAGCACCTGACCGCCCTTTCAGGGAAGAATTTTTCCCTAATATCCAATCTAAACCTCCCCTGGTGCAACTTGAGGACATTTCCTCTTGTCCTGTCATTTCTTACTTGGGAGAAGAACCCAACACCCACCTGGCTCCACCTTCCTGTCAGGGAGTTGCAAAGAGTGAGGAGGTCCCCCTGAGCCTCCTTTTCTCCAGGCTGAGCCCCCCCCAACTCCTCCAGCCACTCCTCATCACACTGGTGCTCCAGACCCTTCCCCAGCTCCGTTCCCTTCCCTGGACACACTCCAGCCCCTCAATGTCTTTCTTGTCATGAGGGGCCCAAAACTGCACCCAGGATTTGAGGTGGGGCCTCACCAGCGTCCAGCCCAGGGGGATGGGCACTGCCCTGGTCCTGCTGGTCACACTATGGCTGGTACAAGCCAGCATGCCATTGGCCTTCTTGCCCACCTGGGCACACTGCTGGCTCATGTTCAAGCACCCCCAGGTCCCTTCCTTGCCCACCAGGAGCTTTCCAGTTGCTCTGCCCCCAGTCTGGAGCACTGCACGGGGTTACATGATGCACAGGCGAGCTCTGAGCTGCCTGTGCAGGTACCAGCTGGGATGGGATGCCTGGAGGAATGGGGTGTGGGGGCACACCTGTGTGCAGGTGTGCATCCACATGCCTGTCTGCCCCACAAAGCTCTGAGCTGCACTCTGGGTTGGTTCCTGCTGCCCAATCCTGTCCTGTCCCTGGCCCACACACAAGCAGCTCTGCAGGAACAGGACATTTTCAGAGCCCTGCCTCCAGGGCCTGAGCAGACACCCGTGAGCTACACATCCCCCTGACTTTCCTGGCTCACCTGAGGAGCCCCAGCCACATGAGCCAGCAGAGCCCCACTCCCATCACAACTCCCTGAGGTCATCTCTGCCAGATGGAAAGGAGATGAGGGGGACCAGGGAGTGCTGGACAAGCAGGGAAAACCTGCAGCCCCGGAGCTGACAGAGGATGTCCCCCATACATATCTTGACCCTGCAGCATCCTCTCTCACCCTGGGGTGGGGGGACACCCCTGCCCATCTGTCCCCTCACCACCACCACTCAGTATCACTCTCTTGCACTCACATCCCAGTGCAGAGAGCAGGGTCACCCAAGGACTGCAGGTTCCTGGCCAGCAGGACGGATCAGGCTAATCCCTCCCTGGCTGCCCCAGGTGCAACTGGGCTCCTTGAGCGTTTAAACCTTCTCCCAGGAGCAGAGTCACAGGACAGGGATCAGCTGGGCAAGTCCTGTGCCCCTGCTGGGACAGTGGGTTGGTGACCAGTGCCTGATGTGGCCACACGCCCAGGCTGGCACAGCAGAGCCATTATCACCACAAAACCCTCCCTGTGTCACCTGGATGAGGGTGGCTGCAGAACAGGGCTTGGCACAGTGGCTCAAGAGCTCCTGGTTGAATGTCCATGCTGCCAGGGTGGACCAACAACCTTGGTCACTGGGTCACCAGGCAGCAGGTTTTATTCTCCCCACTTGTAACAGAGCCCTTGGGGAGACTTCAAGCCCCCTCAGCTGGAAGATCCCCCCCACCCCGGGGCTGCCAATTTCCCTGGTGAGCAGCTTTGAAACAAAGCAGAGGAATCCTTGTTCCCACCCTCCCCCGCAGCCACTGGACAAACATCTGAGTCTGAGAGCCAAACCAACCAGGGTCAGAGGTGATGGAGAGAGGGAAAGACTACAGGAAATGCCCACGGCAGTTGTGTGACCCCACGCAGGGCTACTGCTCTGTCATCCTCGAGTCCACCTCTTGGTCTGCAAAGATGTTTCCTAGGATGGCCTGGTCCAGAGGCAGCACTGGAGGCACCCATCCTTCCAGTGTCTCAATCCCAGCAAACAGGTCACCCAGGACAGGCAGGAAACTGTCCCCGTTTCCACCCCAGCCCACAGGATCCCCAGAGAGGAGCCTCACGAGCTGAACACAATTGGGAAGGCAGCCAGGAGCTTGGATAGGCCAAGTGATGGGAAGGGAAGGACACAACAGCAACAACGTGGGACCTAACAAGGGCTCTGCAGATGAAGACCTAAGTGGGAAGGATTTCTCCAGCAAGGAGGTGACTTTGGGCACTGCTTCCCCTCTCCAGGCCATCAGCATCTGGAGTCACCCAGATGTGATGGTCAACAAAGCCACCTGGAGGCAAGATCACAGCACGGGGCCCCTCCCTGCCCATCTCCCATGGGTGCACCCCAGGTCAGGACCCCAACCAGATGAAGCTTGCTCAGGAGCTCAGCTTTGTTCAACAGCACCCTGTGCTTTCTCACTGGGGCATTAAACCAGTTCCCACTCACACCTCTTTGCTCCTTCACCACAGGAGCAGCCCCCAGGGACACTGCTGCCAACACACAAGGTCCATGGGCTTCCCAGGACAAACTTCTCCAGGGAATGAAGCAGTTAATAGAAGAGGCTTTTGAATTGGAGAAGCCAGAAGAGAGGCGGGAGAGGATGCATTGAAACACTCTCAAGGTCAAAGGCCATGGGAAATAGCACAGCCCTTCCTCAAATCCTCCCAAGAGTGGCCACTTTCTTCTCTCCCTGTTTCACTGGCAACACTGGTCCAGACACAGGCCAGCAGGTATCCCGCTATCCTGGACCTCAGACAGGGGTAAGACAGTCCAGAGCCCCTGAATCCCCAGAGGACCAAGCCATAGGCCCCTTTCCCATGGGGGGACTCCCTCTACCCAGTTTGTAGCCATCCTGAAGCCAACAACATCCAGGTGCTTTGAGTCCCCACTGCACCCGCACGCACACCCGGTCCCACCACGCCTGCCCGGGGTGCAGCTCTGTCCGGGAGCAGTCCGGACATGGACTCAAGACACGGGAGCAGAGAAGGACAGGGCAGGGCCACGGTGTCCCCCAGAGCTCCTGTCACCCACCTCCAGGAACTGGGCGCTGACTTTGAACTCGGGTGCTGCCACGCCCTGGCTCTGAGCCGCGCGCTTGCGCTCCTCGATGCCGCTGAAGAGGTGGCCGATGGCCCGCGGGATGATGCCCTGCTCCTCCTCGGAGATGCTCATGTCGAAGCCAGTGCCCATGGTGTACGTCTTCCCCGCGCCAGTCTGTGCAGAGACAGTGAGGGGAGAGCTGGCCGTGCCCCCCCCCCGGCTCAGCTCTGCCTAATGCACCCCCACTGCCCCCCTGCCGCTCCAGGCTCCCCAGACGCCCTTGCTGAGCCACTCTGATCCCCACCACCACACTGATTCCCACCCCAGCCCTGCCGCCCCCTCCTCCCACCCATGGCCACCCCCCACTGCCCCAGCTCTCACCAGCCAGGGATAACTCCGTCCTCTCCACACCCAGAAACTCACACACACCCCACTTTCCCGAAGCTCTGCGAGTGCCCTCTCAGTACCCCCGGTGCTGCTGGAGGGCAGAGCGTTGAGGCCAGAGGGGGCAGGGCCCATACCTGCCCGTATGCCAGCACTGTGGCATTGTAGCCCTCAAAGCAGCCCTCGATGAGCTTCCCCATGCAGGTGGTGTAGATCCGCTCCTGCCACGTGTCCAGGTCAAAGACAAAGTCGTAGGTGAAGGCCTTGTCCTTCCCCAGCAGCACCTGGGGCTCGCCAGGTGTCACCGAGGTGCAGATGTGACATCCCTCTATCTTCTCTTTGGGCAGCTGGGGACGGATCCTGTGGGAAGAGAAGTAGGCTGAGGGCAGCCTCATGGCTCACCCCATTCTTGGGGACACCAGTCTGGTCCCCAGGACGTGAGCACAGCCCGTGCCAGGCACCAACGTGTCCTGGGGTGTGTCCAGTCCAGCACAGCCGGCTGGTCAAGGGCACAGAGCTGTCCCCTGTTGCCCTGCACTGGTGTAGCCTCACCATGAGCACTGTGTGCAGTTTTGGGCACCACAATATAAAAAGAATGTAAAGGTACATTCTTAGTGTCCAAAGGAGGGACATGAGGATGGGAAAGGGCCTAGAGGGGCCATATGAGAAGTGGTTGAGGTCACTTGGCTTGTTCAGCTGGAGAGGAAGAGCCTGAGGTCAGACCTCCTCGGGGTCTGCAACTTCCTCAGGAGGGGCAGCACCAATCTCTGCTCTCTGTGACCAGTGACAGGACCTGAGGGAAAGGCATGAAACTGTGTCACGGGAGGTTTAAGATGGATATTAGGAACAGTTTCTTCCCTCAGAGGGTGGTTGGGCACTGAACAGGCTCCTCAGAGCAGTGGTCACAGGCCCAAGGCTGCCAGAGCTCAAGGAGAGTTTGGACAGTGCTCTCAAGCACACAGTGAGATTGCTGGAGTGTCTTGTGCAGGACCAGGAGTTGGGCTGGATGATCCTCGTGGGTCCCTTCCAGCTCAGGACATTCTACAATCCATGCTGGAACCATGGCTGCTGCCGGCAGGGGATGGGCAGCACCTCTGCCTGTGGCATGGAGCAAACAGGGCAGGGGATGCTTCAGCTCCTGCATCCTGCCAGGGCAAGGGGTGGGCAGCCGGGCTGCAGCACAGCCCCACTCGCTCCCAACACAGACAGATCAAACTGCAACTACAAAGGCTTGAAATGCAAAATGCAAAAACACGACGAGACAGTCCCAGCGCCAAACCCACCGTCTGCGCCAAACCCCCGCCCAGCCCACGGGCTGTCCCCAGCCCTGGACCCGCCGACGGGACAGGGACAGGGACAGGCTGGGCTGGGCTGGCTCGGGCAGAGAGCAGGACCCACCCGCCTCATCCCACCCACCGCGTCCAACCACTGCCCGAGAAACGCGGGAGCAGAGCGGCAGGACCCGCACAGACCCCGCTCCGCCTCAGGGCTGCACAGCTCTGGCTGCCGGTGGATCCACCAGCTGCAGGAAGCTGGGGACTCCCAGAGGGCTCGTAGAGAAAGAGGGGGTTTGGAACCAAGTGCCATGCAAATAGCTCTCCCCAGCGCTAATGACTGCACGGCTCCCCTCCCCGGGTGCTCCATAAACACAGCTATTAATTCCTCCAAACCGCATCCCTGGCAAGCCACATCACGACCTGAGCAGCCGCTGTGGGGACCGAGACTCAGAATCATAGAATCTCCCGAGCTGGAAGGGACCCACAAGGACCATCGAGTCCAACTCCTGGCCCTGCACGGGACACCTCCAACAATCCCACCCTGTCCCTGAGAGCATTGTTCAAACGCTCCTTGAGCTCCTTGGCAGCCTTGGGTCCGTGACCACTGCCCTGGGGAGCCTGTTCAGTGCCCGACCACCCTCTGGGGGAAGAACCTTTTCCTGATAAGCAGCTTAAACCTCCCCTGGCACAGTTTCATGCAGGAGCCACTGATCCATGCCCAGAGGCAAGCAAAGCCCGGAGGGGGGCAAACCCCTGGGCCGTGTTTGGGGGCACAGGGTGTCCCTGTCGGGGACAGGCAGCAACGGGAGCACCTCTTCACCCCCTCACCCTGCACAGCAGACGCGTGGGAACAGCTCTGCGCCTCCCTGGATATATTTAGCTCAGCAGCCACAACAAAAAAGCAGTTTCTGATGTGCTCAGTCCCAGACTCACTCCTGTCGCCTTCCCAGGTCCCACCCTCCTCCAGGAAAATTATTCCCGACTTTTAATTACTTTTGGACCAAGATGATGTGGTTCCGCCACCCCCACCCCAGACACGCACAGCAACTGCAGCCCCAAGGAATGGGCAGAGGAACAAACTGGAACCACAGTATGCTTGGGAATTCTTTTTCCTCTCGGGAAAAATGAGAGCAGGTTTTCAGCAAAATTTTTCTTTCCCTCTCTGCCCCCCCCTTCACTCCTCCCAGGGGATTAAATACCTCCAAGGGGAGTTGGCAAGAGGATGAGCAGCAGCACTGGAGGGGTGTGTGCATGTTAACTTTCACAGGGCGTTTAGGAACCCACCTCCAGCCTGGCCATGCTGGGCTGTTCCAGTGTCCACACACCAACACCAACATCTGCCCCAGTCCCCACAGCATCATGGGGGTCTTATGTGGCCACCAGGAGACATCACAGAGGGTTTCTCTAGGCCAGTGCAGCTGCTCCCCTGTGTTCAACTGCCCCAGCACTCCCACACCACGGTGTCCCATCCCTGCCCTCCCAGGAAGCACATCACCACACTGGGCAGCAGGCAACGTGAGACCCTGGTTGGGCCAGGGAGGTGCTCATGTGTTGTTCAGGTCATGCCCAGGCACCACAATACCTCCACCAGACAGAGAATCATGGAATTATTCAGGTTGAAAAAACCCTCTAAGATCACCAAGTCCAACCATTCCCCCAGCACTGCCATATTCACCACTAAACCATGTCCACGAGAACCGGGTGTGATGCTGTCAGGGCCCAGCCTGTGGACGATGGAACTGCTCCCTCACCTGCCCCTGGACACAGCCAGCCAACCTGCTCTGCACCTGGTCATGGGCCACCAGCCAGGAGGACAGCTTGTGCCAACCACCAGGACCCACTGCAGAGCCGAGCACACCAGGGTGCTGTGGCCAGAAGGGCTGGGACACCACCGAGAGCCCTTCTGCCCCCCCGGGAGTCCACACACAGCACAGGCTCCTGTGGTTATGTGGCAATTAGGGACATCCCTGCTAAGCAGCAGCCAAAATTAAGCAGCAGTTCACCAGCAGGGCGCTGCCTTGACACCTTCCAGCTCGGCAGGAGTGACCTGAGCCCCAGCTCTCCCTTGTGCCCAGCCGGCCCCACGCTGGCACTGGTGATGGTTCTTACCCAAAGCCAGCGTGGGGAGGACACAGGTTGTCCTGGGACCAGCAGGGTGCTCAGCACCACCCCCATCTCCCTCCCACCCCTATGGATAAACCGACCTCAGCACAGGCAACACCCTGGGCAGGAGAGAGCCAGCAGGAGCACAGTGGCACCGACCACCACCGCGCTCCACCCCACCCTCAGCTCCCTGCGAAGGGACGGAGCACCAGGACAGAGCTGCACGGTCCAGCCAAGTGCTCCTGCCAAGAAAACCTTCCCAGGCACCCGGCACACCGGGCGGGAGGCAGATGGATGAACAGACAGACAGAGGAGCCTGCAGGGGTGGAAAACATCCCTCCCCAACCGGCAGCTATCGCTGGGGCGATGACGGGCGGCGCAGCAGGAGCCTCATCCAGCATCAGCATCCAAACGCGGCAGCACAAGCGACATCCGTGCCAGGAGAGCTGCAGCCGGCACAGGGACACAAAGGGGACCTCGGCTGGAGCCTCTCCATCGCTCCCCTTCCCGTCCCCGCCGGGCTGGCAGGCTCTGAAAGCGCCGTCTCCACGGCTGGGCCGCCGGGGACACCGAGCATCTGGGAGGAAGGGGGGAGCGGGTCCTGCACCCCCAGGGGCAGGAGCTCCGGCAGGCACAAAGGGCGAGTTGTTCTGCACCACTGCCCTATGCCAGGCTTGGCTGGCGGGAGCGGAGAGGGGCCGGGAGCCAAGTGGGCACTGTGAGGCAGCTCCACAGGCAGGGTCAGCTCAGGAGTCCCTGACCCCAACAAGAGCAGCCTCCCGGGGAGGCACCTGCCCATCACAGCATCTCGAGCCCTGCAAGAGGCCCGGGGATGGGCCATATGGGGCACAGCCAGTGTCCCCACTTCAGGGCTGCACACACCACAGACACCACCAGGCTCCTGTACTCTCAGGGGATGCTGTCTCCTTGCACAAGGCGGCACAGTTTGGCTGACATGTCCTCCTCACCCACATGTCTGAGCTTCCACCCTCCCAGCCCACTACTATGGCAGCCCCAAGGGGCTCAGAGCATCCTTTGGCCCCCACCAAACTGCCTGGACCCATGGCTAGGCATATGCCAGGCCACAGCATCCTGCTGAGACATGGCTGCCCTGGGGCACGGCAGCCCTCCCATCTCACTTGGCCATCCCACTCAGCATGGCCCACAGGAGAGGGTGGGCACAGGGACCCAGCCTCCCCCAGACCCATCACCCACATCACACAGGGGCTGTTCCAGCTCCCAGGGAGCCTGAGGACACACACCCTTCCCAACATTTCACAGTGCTGGTTGGGGACTGCACAGACTAGGGAGTCACCGGGAGCTCCTGTCCCTTTGAGACCTCTCTGTGAGGCAGGGAGGCTGCCTGCAGACCCTACAAGGAGCCTCTCCCCTCCCAAGGAGGCTGCCCAGCCAGGCAGGGCTGGTTTCCCAGGGAGCAGAGCCAGGGAGCGGCGGGTGGATGAGTTCCACGGGATTTTCCCTCTCTGTGCCAGGCCCCGGAGGCTTGGAGCCACTACCTCTTGTCCACCTTTTCTGCAGAGGGGCAAGGCTGCCCACTGCAATGGTGGTGAGGGGCTGGGCACTGTGCCTCGCCCAGCCATGGCCATCAGCTACCACGGGCTGGCAGAGGCTGGAGCTGGCAGATCCCACCAGGGCACAGCCCAGCTCTCTGGATGAGCCTGCCAGGACAGGTGGGCTGGGCAAGCCCAGACAGCGCCTGGCTCCTCTCCCCACATTGCCTGCATTCATTCTGCTCCCATCCCCATTCCTTGCATCACCTGTGTTCACCCCGCTCCTGTCCCACAACACCCCACTCCCCACATCACCTGCACTCACCCCCCTTCCCCTCCCCTTGCATTCAGCTCACTCCCATCCCCACATCACCTGTGCTTGCCCTGCTCCCATCCCCACTCCCCCCATGGCCCCATACCTGCTCCCCCTGTCACCAGCTCCCTCCAGCCCCCCCAGAACTGCAGGGGC